CACAAATGGCCCCAGGTCAAATGACTGCTAGTATAGGTCATCTCACTATACAGTACTATACTGGATTTAATGATAATTGCAATTTATTTTAAAACTAATAATATTTATTTTATTTCTTTGGCAGAGGGAGGAGCCAGATACAGTTGTTAAGAAACAATGTCAGGTCTACCACACTTCCTGGCTACACTGTCTGCAACCCCACTGTGAGTGGTGATCTGTGGTAACTGGCCTATATTGACCAGACCTGGGATGACCTGACCTGTGGGGACCCTGACCTTCAGTGACTTTAATCTGGTGACCTGATTTGACCATGATTTCATCTGTCTCAGCTCATCAGTTCCATCATCTGAACTCATATTTACACTTTCTCCTTATCGAATATGTTGAAAAACTTACACAATGGACTTACACAAGGACTTACACAATGGAGCAAATCTCAGGTCAAACTGTATCTTTATCCCAGACAAAGACTCCCTGAGTCTTCACCTTAAAGCAACCACTGAACCCATTGAATTGTGTGTCTAGAAAGTGAAGAGTCCCTATAAGATCTCCACCCTCTAATTACCCTCATTTGTTGCACATACCTTAAAAATCTGATGATTACATATTCCTCTTTCTCAACATATCATTTTACCATCATAACCTCTCAATTTCTGTTTGACCTCATCCTTTTAAATATTTTTATCTCTTATTTCAAAATGCCTTGTGACTTTCTATTGGTGTCAGCTATTTCATTTCTTTCAGTGGATTATTCAGTTTAAGTGCATAATATCCATCGTCTAAACTCATCATTTCACTAACCACCTTTTTTTACTTTGTCTCACTTCATTACTCTTCCTGTTTCAAAAATGTTTTACCTACACAAAAAATAAAACAGCCTTGATGCTGTCAGAAGGGATATAAGCCAAGGAATTAGAGTAATTTTCCCTTTTATTTGGCTGAAACCTGAATATATACAGTATCTCCTGTCTGCAGATGTAGTATGACCCTTACAGGTCAAAATGAAATTTCAGAAAGACATACACATACAGCATATTTCCCAAAAATCTCCAAAATCAGTAGGCATCCTTTCTAAGATATGGTACTATGTACCCTTACTCTTTACCACTCTCTCTTTCTACCCTTACCTCACCTATGGTATTTGTGCATGGGGTGCAACCACAGCAAATCACCTTAAACCAATAATAATCCAACAGAAAACTGCTGTGAAATTGATTACAAACTCCTCTGCTAGGCAACACACCCACTGCTATTTAAGAGCTTGAATCTGCTTAACATACAAAATACAGTACTCATTCATATTATTGTGCCTACTACATACACAGAACATTATTCTCCAGTATTTATCTTCCTCACAAACTCCCTGAGAACTACAACAGAACACATTTACATAACACAAGACACAAAACACTCTGATATCCCTCGTGTTCATCTCTTCCTATGCAGAAATGCTATGCACATAAAGGGCCCTAAGATCTGGAATTCATTACCTGAACATACAAAAGAGCCCCTTCCTGCACACCAATTCAGGTCTCTGCTTAGAAATCACCTCATCTCCCAAAATTAACCACACAAACAGTACATGTTATTGCCACCAACAACTAAAAAATTTTCCTAAATATTTTAAGGTTATTTCAAAATTAAAATGGTTCCAATCTCATTATGTAAAATGTGCTAAAATATAATACTGTAACCTATTAATCAGTTCATCTCAATTATAAATTCAGTTACTACTAAACCACTAACTACCTCTTAAAATAAAAAAAAAACAATGTTCAATTCGAACCAACTATGTTATATATGCCTAGTATTAAGTAGTCTGTTAAGCATTAGGTTTAGTCTGCCTGAAATGCCCAAGCATGATAGTGGCTTTCTTTGTACTTAGCAAATCAAAATTGTAATTACATAGTATAAAATATGCAAAGAGATAAAATCCTTAACCCTTACAATAATCTTGTACTTTCTAAAAAGATAGTCACCAGGTTATGACATGACACAAGGAAGATATCTACTATTTATCTTTCCTGAGGAAATCAACTTGATTCAGATCTTTGTGTTGCTATGAGCTCAGATGTGGTGTGGGGCTCATGATGAAAGCTATGTGAAGAAAAAGTCACAAGGAAAATTCTAATGCAGCTTAGCTTAACTTAAAATTGTAATTTGTTTTGCAATTTTTTGTTATGTTTTCCTCGTCAACCCAAAACATCATACACACTAACATATAGTATCAGATCTTTCAACTTTGCCAGAGGATGCATGTTGTGATGCAACTAGCTGAGTACAAAAAATCTCTCACATCTTAGCTAATCTTTGAATGGAGTGTTACACAATTTCCCTTCTGTTGACACAAGTCTTGTGGTAAACCCCAAGGCCTAGCTCTGTCTCCTGCAGCCCCATGAGGATTTCTCCACATGATACATGTTGTAATGGGACCCTTACTCTTACAACATTTACTTAAACACAATACAGAATATAAAAGTTTATTATATTTTCATCCTACATTGCTGATTTTCACACTTTTCCTCTTTTTAGCCTACAATTTTTAAGACTGTGAGTATAATTGTATAGTTTAACTTTGGGATAGCTTTAGGATTGCTTTAGGATTGCTTTAGAATAACTTTAGAATTGCTGTAGGATAGCTTAGAATTACTGTAGGATAGCTTTGGGATACCTTGAGAATAGCCTTAGGATAGTTTAAGGATAGCCATTTTTGTGCATGGTTCCATCTCTGTTTCACACACTTTATACTGTCATTTCCATGTAAACAGTACCACCAGAAATACTTAACCCTTTCAGGGTTTGGGCCTGTGGTGGTACGGCTTACGAGCCAGGGTTTTTGACGTACTAGTACGCCTAAATTCTAGCGCCCTCAAATCTAGTGAGAGAAAGCTGGTAGGCCTACATATGAAAGAATGGGTCTATGTAGTCAGTGTGCGTGGTATAAAAAAAAATCCTGCAGCACACAGTGCGTAATGAGAAAAAAAAACTTTGACCATGTTTTTGGATTAAAACAGCTACTGCACTGTATTTTCATATGGTATTTATATGTTGTATTCTAGTTTTCCTGGTCTCATTTTATAGAATGGAAGACATATTACAGAAATTGAGATGATTTTGACTGGTTTTACAAAGAAAGTACGTACCTTGAAATTGAGCTCAAAGTAGCAGAAATGTTCGATTTTTACCAAAGTTCAAAAGTAAACAAATCATGTATGCATCCGATACACGTCAACTGGTGAGTCTAATATTCTTTCACAAGTGCGCTGATATTATTTATACCATTTCTACACCAATACAGTAGTCTGCATAATAATAAATCTTCTATTTTTTTGTGAGAATAAAAATTCAAAGTGGAAAGCAAAAGAATGTAAGAGGGGCATGGGGACGTGGACTAATGAACAGAGGAAATGTTATTTTAGTGCTAGGAATGTCTTTCTTGTTTATTCTGGACCCTATTCGGAAATTGGCATCTTTTGAAATTTGTGTGAAATTGGCAAAATTGCTAAAATTCTGACCACTGTATTGGATAGTTGAAATCGGTAAATGTGTGGTTTCTTGTACTCACTCGATAGAAAAAATGGAGTTCTAGCGAAATAGTTATGATTTTTGCCGACAAGTATACTGGAATTGACCGAAAATAGGGCTCAAAGCGGGCAAAATCGCCGATGCATAAACATCATCAAGACCGCTAACTTTGCGAGAGCATAATTCCGTAAGTTTTCCATCAAATTTCATACTTTTGGTGTCATTATGATCGGGAAAAGATTCTCTATCTTTTCATAAGAAAAAAATAATTTTTTTTTTTTTTAAATTTGGGGGACCCTTAGAACCAGTCTCTGAGAGGGCCTGTCAACCCTGAAAGGGTTAATAGCCCTGCCTTAGTCTAGCAGTGAGAAGTGTCTTGTAGTCTACTGATATTGTTGCTTTCTCCATAGACTTGTTTTACTTGAAACATCTCATTATCATAGACATTGGATCTCCTAGTTTTTATTTGTACTCTTCTTTCATCCAACTCATATGCTAGTTCTTTTCTAACAGTATTTCTTAAACGTGTTTGAGAAACCAAAATCATATACAATATTCTCTTTATTTAAGGGTAATTTAGCCAAGGCATAACTTTATCATGTTCCCTGAGGCCTATATTAGAGGGAATCCACAAAGTTTAACACTAATTTCTTTTTCAATGATTTGTGCTTCTGTATCTGTATCTGGCTTCATACACAAGCCTGTTAGGTAAGACACATATGCAACAGTTAGGTATCTTTATTTGAAATAAAGATGCCTAACTGTTGCATATGTGTCTTACCTAACAACCTGTTGGTATTTTATACCATTTTAATATACACAAGCCTGTTATATTTAGAACTCTGGCTATGTAGAGCAGGTATTGAGGATAGGGAGATGGAAACAGTTAAATTCTGCAACTGTAGCTTTTACAATCTTCAGAGCATTAAGTATAGCAAACAGTTTAGTTTGTTAGGTGGAAACCAGGTTACTAATTCTAATACTTTTCTGTGTTAAGTACAGTCAGGCTGGTGTATGATAGCAGCACTTTCTGCCATCCCACTGTCAAAATCCAACCCATCCTCCTGAGCAACATTTATAATATTAACTATTTATAAACAGATTTGTCAAATAGAGTTTTTAACTGTTTTTTCTAACAGCAAATGTCATATCAGTGTAAAAGGAGCAGTCAGCATAAGTGGTCTTAATGATAATACTATTTTTAATCTGCAGGTCATATATGTACTTCATACCATTAATGGGCAGGTGTACAAGTGTATCTTATAAAAAGTGGCTACTGAGTATAAGTTTTGTCTCAGCTAATTAAATGCCCTATCTCAGTTCATCAGATGTCCTGTCTCAGATCATCATGTACTGGATCTCAGATCATTATATGCCCTGTCTCAGTTCATCAGATGTCCTGTCTCAGATCATCATGTACTGGATCTCAGATCATTATATATGCCCTGTCTCAGTCCATCATCATGATGTTGCAGGAGTTGCAGAGGCCTATCCGTCAGAGTCTGGGGTGGAAGAAGGGCGTCCCACTGGTGGCACCATCACCTGTACCACTCTTATCTGAGGAAGATGCCCAGGAGCTAGCCAGGTGTATATGTTTGTTCTTGTGAATCTTAAGCTCTTGGGCCAGTATCTTTATACTTTAACATTATTTGACTAGGGTATATCTGCTTTTATAATCATGAATAATTTTAACGTGGGAAATGTTAACATTTAATTTCTTGTGCCTTTCTTATCTTAACAATGACTTGATTGATTCTTAATATTTCTGTAACTAATCTGAATGTTCACATTCCATCAGTGTCCCCTTTCATGATGACTAGTCTGTGTCTCTGTCAACCTGTCGAAGTCCCACATAATTTTGTATGTCACGATCATGTCCTGTATATGCTGCCAATATTTTTTTGTGCTTCAGATAGGTTAATCATGATGCTCAACATTGTACCCTTTTCATTTTATCATTCTATGAGTTGTTCTTTCCTCATATAGTATATTCTATCCAGTGTCCTCTACCTTATGTTGTTGTTCATTCAGTTGGTAGGCTATACTCCTTTTTCTCCCTATCCCGATATTCAGTTCTTCACATTTACTGGGGTTGTAATCCAGTATAATATCTTTCCTTTATATGGTGTGTGTTATCTTTGCATTGTCTGCACACACTGCTATTCAGGAGTCTATCCTTCCTTGATAAGTCATATTTAGATGCCAGAAATAGCAGGTGCTATAGCTCTAATCTTTGTGGGATTCTACTGGCAATGCGTGCCCATTCAGATGTACTGACTTTCATCCTTGTTGCTTTCTACTACTCACATACATACATGCTAATTTCTTGCCTGTCGCTCAAGCCAGTTCCACTTTTCTATCTTGCTTGATTTCCTTCAGTCTAATTTAAATGTTAGTTTTGTAAGGAATTATTTTCCATTTTTGAACACATCGTAAAATGTCAGTGCTCTCAAGGTGATGCATATTGAGGATACTGGGCTATTGTTTAATAGTTCCTGTTTATTGCTTTTCTTGGTATTATGAACACAGGTTATGAATGGCCTGTGACCTGGTCGTAATGGGTTATGGAGAAATACAAACTCAGTAGATAGACTATAACTTGTATTTCCTTCACCAGATATAATTTGCCAGATATATAGTAGGTTGGTAGACAGCAACCATCCAGGGAGGCACTACCGTCCTACCAAATGAGTGTGGAACATAAGCCTGTAATTGTTTTGCATGATGGTAGGATTGTTGGTGCCTTTTTCTGTCTCATAAACATGCTAGGTTGCAGGTATGTCTTGCTACTTCTACTTACACTTAGGTCACACTACGCATGTATGTACAAGCATATATATATACTAACCCCTCTGGGTTTTCTTCTATTTTCTTCCTACTTCTTGTTATTGTTTATTTCTGCTTATCTCCATGAAGAAGTGGAGCAGAATTCTTCCTCTGTAAGCCTTAGACAGGGATGTGTGATGTCACCATGGTTGTTCAATATATTTATAGATGGAGTTGTAAGAGAAGTGAATGCTTGAGTGTTGACAAGAGGTGTGGGGTTAAAAGATAAAGAATGGTTTGGCCATGTAGAGAGGAAGGAAGGAAATAGAATGACTTCTGTTGTGGAGGGAAGGCAGGGTAGGGGTCAGTCTAGGAAAGGTTGGAGGGAGGGGGTAAAGGAGATTTTGTGTGCGAGGGGCTTGGATTTCCAGCAAGTGTGTGTGAGTGTGTTAGATAGGAGTGAATGGAGACAAATGGTTTTTAGGATTTGCCTTGATGTGCTGTTGGAGTGTAAGCAAGATAACATATATGAAGGGATTCAGGCAAACTGGCAGGCCAGACTTGATTCCTGGAGATGGGAAGTACAGTGCTGGCACTCTGAAGGAGGGGTGTTAATGTTGGAGTTTTATAACTGTAATGTAAGCATGCCTCTGGCAAGACAGTGATGGAGTGAATGATGATGAAAGTTTTTCTTTTTCGGGCCACCCTGCCTTGGCGGGAAACAGCTGATGTATTAATAAAAAAATATATATAAAAAATAATACATGTATATACAGACTGAATAGTAAGTGCACCACACAACAGTGACAGAGTGGGAAAAGTAAAAGCCAGAGACAGAGAGCACTGTACTCAACCAGCAGGTAGGCAAGGCTGGCAGATGCTGACCACAAGTGAACCACATTGCCTCAGCATTTGGCAGGCTTGCCCGATTGGTCAATGAACCAAGGCACAGTAGTACCTTGACTTACGAGTCTAATTTGTTCTGTAACTCAGTTTGCTCGTATATCAAATCAGTTTCAATTAATTTTGAAATTAATTGAACTGCCATTAATCTGTTCCAGCCCCCAGAAACACCACCCCAATTTTTTTGTTATGGGTTTTTAAATAAGAGAAATGTATTTATAAATAAGAAATATTGTATGAAAACATAATAAAAGAGAATGTAAAGAAATAAACTGGTCTTATAAAGTGTATATACTTTGGAGATCAGACGACTTGGGCTAACAGAAGATGCTGGCGGAGGTGGAAGGTGGAAAAGATAGGCAGAGGAGATTGGAGGAAAAATTATGGAAATCGAGTTAATGGTATAGAAAAATAGCTTAACTCACTGGCAACACAATGGTACAAGAATCACTGTTCTATGATATTCCTACAAGGAATTATAGTCATTTATATCATGTATAGTGACACCACCGTGCATAGCACACCTGCTCACAACCTGTAAATATTTAGGATTTTTTTTTTCTACGAGGGGTAGGAGAAAATACTACTTCAATACATATAATGCTAATATCAACTCTGTGGCTTATTTATCCATCAGAATTTATCTAATATGACATAATAAACACTATAACATACAAGCATGATATATACTCTAGAATAAATAAAATAAGCCTTAATATGGCAAGTGTCCAGAACCAGTCCGAGCATATAAAATCATTACTGCTCCTTCCTATAAAGTGGTCTTTGGTCCTGGGTAAGAGAAAACGGAGTTTTTGCACTAGATCACTAGCTTCATAAGGAAAACACTGAAACAAAAGCGATTTTCTCGGAATTTTTTTTTTTTCCCCGAGATGGGAGGCCGGCCTGCATTCCCAGTGAATATCTCGGAAGTAAGTTGACTTATTTCATGAAGCCCACCATTTATTATCGAAGTAAATACAATAATATTGACAGGAATCATAAAAAAAATGATTGTTCCACAATTGGCTTCTGGAATATTGGAAATATTTCAAATATTTTGGGATCTGTGTGGGAGTAAAGGGCAAGATATTTTGCAAGTGTCAGATAACTAAAGATAACTACACGATTACCTCCAGTGAGAACATCACACTAGCATTGTTTTATGAGTACCAACTAGTGGAGGCATAGCTGAAGCTCGCTCGTAACTTAGATTTTGGCTCGCAACTCAAAGCAAACAATTGACCGAACGATGGCTTGTAACTCGGAAAACTTGTAAGTTAGGCACTCATAAGTCTAGGCACCACTGTACTGACTAAATGACAGGTACCCTAATAATTGTTAAACCCTTAGCACCCAGTTCGCTGGTTGGGAGGCAGCCTATATGGGAGTGTGACATACGCTGAATAAATTGTAACGTACTCTTTGCATGCCACACTTGACTACCGAAATTATGTTGCCTGTCTGCCTGTGTTTCATATCCCTGAAGATAGTGAAAGATGTTAGGTCTACAATGTCTCTCTTTTTTCAGTATTTAAAGCAATATTTAGACCAGGCTTGTTGTTAGTGATGTGGCTAGTTTTTTTCAGGATTTACTCAACTTCTTCACATATTATTTCAGTATGTTTGATAATTATTGTGTGTGCCTGATCTCTCTCCCCTTTTCTGTTGTTTGTGCCAATCACTGTTCGGTTGTGTAGATACTCTGAAGTAATGTTAAAAAAAATCCTTGGTTTTTATCTCTATGAGATAAGATTTGAGTTTCTTGCTATTGTTTTTGTTGATGTTTTCCAGTGTAAGGTGTGCAGCAGTGATAGAGGTGACAGTAAGAAGGTAGTATACTTTAGAGTCGGGCTTAGCTTGTAAATTCAAATATGAAAAAAGTAATGCTTATAAGCATTTACATACAGGCAGGAGAGGCAACTACAATTTGGCGGACATCGTCGTTCAAGAACCCCACCTAGATTTGTGCCTGATTGGGCAGTGTTGGACAAGAAGGTGATCACCTATTGCTGGTACTCATGTACTTGCTTTCACCACCTTGCTGGAAACCAGAAACACCTGTAGTAATGAGTTATAGCATGTTCATGTACTCCTGCATGATGCCTCGCCTTAGCAACTTATCCTATTCTTACTTGTCAGCATATTGCCAATAATTATGAATATAAAAACTTACATTGCAGAACAAGTGTTTAATAACAGTGTATCACTCTGTGTAAATTTCTACACAGAGTGAAACATTATTCAAATAATGGCCTATTCTGCAACTTGTGTCTTTGTAATTGTTGGCAATACACCGCTACATCCAAAAATGATGTTCTAATTAGTGTATGCTGTGTGTTCTGTACTAACCCAGTACCACAACAGTTTTAGATATTATAGAAACTGCACAATTTTATAGGTTGCACACTGGTTTGTCTTGGTCATGGAGTGAAAGTCTTAGGATACCATGAAAGGAAAATAAATAAAAGCAGCCTGGGTCAAGGAATAACTTTTTATTTGCCTCTCTGTGTGGTCATTCCAGTGGCAGATTTTGAGATTTTTTTTTTCTGATATTGCATCCTGGCTTGTGACCAAGTTTTCTTGGTGACCATCTGATTAACCAGGCTCTAGTTATAGGTAGGCCCATATAGTCATCACAAGCTGGTTGATCAGGAAATATCTGCAGGATCTTAGTTACTGTAGACCGAAGACTTCCTGCGAAGGTAGAGGTCTTTAAGTGGGAATTAGACAGCACCTGTTAGTGACTGCTACCTCCAAAACAGTTTCTCAAACAGCTCACCCTTGTAATTAAAATCAACATTTCATTGTTGCTAAGACAGTTGGATGGGTGACTTTTGGAGGTGGTAGTAGACAGGTGCTATCTAATTCCCACATGATGCCATGTGTGTCATAAGAGGCAACTAATATGCCAGGAGCAAGGGGCTAATAACACCTTCTCCTGTATAAATCACTAAATTTAAAAAGAGAAACTTTCAGTTTTTGTTTTTGGACCACCCTGCCTTGGTGGGATACGGCCAGTTTGTTGAAAGAAGAAGAATACAGTCTCTCCTCTGTTAATGACAGAGATAGGGACCTAAGACCCCATCGGTAAACGAATTTGCTGCTAAACGAGGAGCATACTATAATGGTAGTGGATTTGTGTCAGCCATCATTGATATTGTTTTAATGTCACCTTTACACCATTTACAACAATTTAGGTATATTTTTAAATGTTTATACAGCAGTGTACTGTATATTGTAATAAACAGAATTGAGGAAATCAGCTCTAATATGTACATTATTTCTTGACAGTGCCTCTCCCACTCTATCATTTGATCTCCTTTTGCACTCTCTCACCATTCTCTTCACCTTTCTTTTACTCTTCATATACTCTGTCCTTATATAACTTCGGCTTTGTATATGTACGATATTGTTTTTAATTTTAGGTACATGTATTAGAATAATGTATGTTTTTTCTATTTTGCAATATTTCCTCAAAGTTTAAAATAAATGTAACTTCTTTCTTTCAACACACCGGCCGTATTCCACCAAGGCAGGGTGGCCCAAAAAGAAAAACGAAAGTTTCTCTTAAATTTAGTAATTTATACAGGAGAAGGGGTTACTAGCCCCTTGCTCCCGGCATTTTAGTCGCCTCTTACAACACGCATGGCTTATGGAGGAAGAATTCTGTTCCACTTCCCCATGGAGATAAGAGGAAATAAACAAGAACAAGAACTAGAAAGAAAATAGAATACCTAGAGGGGTGTGTATATATATGCTTGTACATGTATGTGTAGTGTGACCTAAGTGCAAGTAGAAGTAACAAGACATACCTGAAATCTTGCATGTTTATGAGACAGACAAAAGACACCAGCAATCCTACCATCATGTAAAACAATTACAGGTTTTCGTTGTACACTCACTTGGCAGGACGGTAGTACCTCCCTGGGCGGTTGCTGTTTACCAACCTACTACCTAGGAAATGTAACTATATTCAGTTTAATAATGGAGAGAGGGTGTTTAAGTTCTGAACTCTAATTTTTTATTTTCAGTTTCAAGCAATTACAATAATTTACTTTTTTTAGCTTTCATATATTTTTTAAAGTGTTAAACAGTATTATGAGAGTGTTGGATATTTTGGTTTCAAGTTTTATATGACTTGAAGTTATTAAGACTTATTTTTGCAATTATTTCTCATTATATCTTCATCCGATTACTAAATCTGTAGGTAAATTCAATATTTTTTTATTTTAAGCCTTACAGGGTGTCTATAATGAGTAATGATATTGGCATCTCAGAGAAATTAAGTTATTTAATATTTAACCTTCCTGGGGTAAGTAATACCTATTGAGCAATAAACATTCTCTTAAATATTGAACATAGTTATCATAATTTTAAAAATAAGCAATACTGAAAAAATATCAAAATCAGTATTTGATTAAAATTGAATATCATCAAAAATTTTGATATCACCCCATCCCTAGTCTCTGTTATATGGTATACATTATTCTTGGTTATGTACAAGTAAATTACAGTCGTAATAACCCTTGTGAGGTAGATAGGCTTTAATCCTAACACACACACATTACCATTTTTTGTAAGCTTTTCCAAGTTCTTGATTGGTTATGGAGTAACTTATGTTGAACAGGTACTGCGGTTCAAAGCTTACTTCACTGAGCATGTGGAAGGTGGATCCCAGGTGTACTGTGTACGACCTGTCATCATATATTATTATCTGCTTGATGATGCCTTGGCTGTTACTGAACCCAAGACTCCGGTGAGTTTTATGCACCTGTCTTACTTTATTTTGATATCTTTGTTATGCACCATATACTGATTATATGGGCAATAATTACCCCATACTCTTCCTGTGGATGGTATTCACCCTATACCCATCTTGTAAGGATAGTCATCCCATTCCCATTATTCTGTGGGCATTAGTCATCTCATACCAATCCTGTGGGATTACAAAGGTACATAATAGGTCAAGGGACTGAGCCCCCAGCATTTGTATTTATTTAGCTGATATTATTATTAAAATGATCATGATTATTATATTCGTAGCCAAATGCAAAACTCATAGGAGTCATACAGTGCCCAGGGAAGAGGAAATGGGAGGGTAGCTCCATTCCTTGATGCTGGTAAAGGCCTCTTGATCCAATGAATTGAACCTATCCTCCCTTTCCTTGGATCATGTTTGACTGCATTCCATTTCCCAGGTGCTGTGTGACTGCTACAGGTTTAGCACTTCCTCCTAAATACGTATAACAATAATTCATAAATAGGTATTTTACACAGAATATAAACACCGAGAGGTGTGTGTGTATGTATGTATGTGTGTGCAATATATACCCTGAGGTATATATATCTTAATCTATAATATATGTCAAACCTATTATTTTAATAATGCGCTGTGATTGGTCAACTCATGTCATACCGTGGATCAATCATATTCTACCAAGCACTGCAGCAAGTATGATTTAAAATTATGATAATTTGTTTCTGTACAGTATAACATCATTTCTGCTATTTATGTGAATACTGTAACTAAAATTTCAAATATGTAAGAAAATACCTCAGTTTGAGCATTGCAGAGCAGTGTTTATAATGCACATCCATTATATTTTTACATATATAAGTTAATTTTTTTTACATTAGTAAATGTCCACCAGCCCATGAAAATTTTCTTTGCAGAACTCCGGCTTAGACCAGGGACAACTACTGAGCCGTCAGCGTGTACCTCACCCTGATGGTGGCTTCTGGCACTGGACGTACCTCAACCTTAACATGACTCTAACACTCTATGGCAGACACTACGTCATCTACGACTGTGACCCCTTCACTAAGGTGGGTGTAATACATTCAACACTTTCACTATGGTGGGTGAAATGTACTGATATGGCTCACTCACCCTTCTTCACTCAGTGCCCTGTCCTTGCTCACTAGCTTGCACACTTCCATGTGTATGAATGAAGCACTGGGTGAGGGAGCTTATGTACATTATGTAGGCCTCCCCCATAAAACAATGAACTCTCCCCGAGACTCATTATGAGGAGGGAAAACAGCATAGCATGTGCTACAGTTTTTCCTGTATGTACTTCACAGTGTTGACTTATTTTTTTTCCAGCATGTTCCTCAGAAATAAGTTGTAATTTTACTACCTTATTATAGTAAAAACATGTTAACCATGCGTTATCTGACTGTCTGCTGCATATTTGTATACAGGAGGGCTTTGCTTTACAGCACTTAAATACAGTGGTCCCTCGCTTTTCGTAGTTCTCAGCAATCGTAAATTTCGCCAACCATAGGGGTATTTTCGTATAAACATGGACTCGCTTTTCATAGGTTGACTCGCGAATAGTAGTTCGTCCGGGACACGTATGCACGGTGTGAGCCGGGGCGGCCTCCCTACCCAGCCAGTCTGGCAATGTTTACCAGTGAGTGAAGGTCCCCTCAAGTGCTCCTACGAAATATTTCATAATATTCCACTCATTTTAGTGCTTGCAAGTACTAAATAAGCTACCATGGCTCCAAAGAAAGCTCCTAGTGCCAAGCCTGTGGTAAAGGTGAGAAATATGTACAGTGACAAAGTCTTGGGCCATTTTAGGGAAGTGTTAAAGAAACGCCAGAAACAGAGCTCTCTCCACAGTTACTTTGCGAGACAGGACTAGAGTGACTCTCAAGGTGGTCCAAGTGGCATTAAGAAACAGAGAAGAGAAGCAACCCCAGAGAAGCAATTGGTACCTGAGGTGTTGCTGGAAGGGGATTCCCCTTCCAAACTGTAACCAATTCAATCTCTCTCCTCCAGTCTCCCATACACTAAGAAGAATCTCCAATAAAGGTAAGTGTTACTCTGTTAATGTTTCATTCATCATTTCCCATTGTATTGTTTATGTACTACATGTATATTTCATGTAAAAAATTTTTTTGTTTTAATACTTCTGGGTGTCAGGAACGGATTAATTGTATTTTACATTATTTCTTATGGGGAAAATTGATTTGCAAATCGTAAATTTCGTTTATAGTAACGGCTCCAGGAACGGATTAATTACGAAAAACGAGGGACCACTGTATATGGCATTTCACTAATCCAGCTGTTTTCAGTTATACCCATTCATGTATTCAGACTTCCTACAATAAATATATTCACTACTTACTATAAGCTAAGAATGAAAATATTTTATGGTAAGTAATGTTTTCTCCATGGGGAAGTGGTCCATAGTTCTTCCTCCATAAGCCATTCAAGTCGTAAGAGACGACTAAAATGCTGAGAGCAAGGGGCTAGTAACCTCTTCTCTTGTATACACTACTGAAGTTAAAAAGAGAAACTTTTTTTTTTGAGGGGGGGGAGGGGCCACCCAGCTTCAGTGGGATATGGCCAGTTTGTTAAAAGAAGAAGCAATGTTTGCTCACTTAATATATGATAGTGTAAAGATGTTATCAGGCTTTTAGTATATGCATTTGAAAGTGAAAAAAGTCTATGTTTTGCTTTACAGCAGTAGCCCAGAACCTGACCTGCAGTATAAGCAGGTCCCTCCTGTATATAATATCCCAGGAACAGATCCAGAGGGAAGAAGTTTAAGATAAGTAGTGTACTCTGTTTATCTTCTAATTTTTGGTATTTATGTATATAGTATTTGAAAAGATCAGAATAAATTAATCTAGACTTAGTATAATCTGATATCAGACTTTACATTTTACTAATGCAGTCACATTTATCTAAGATCGCTACCCTGGGATATTATATGGTTTACATAGACTTCATAAATTACATGTACCATTGAGACCCATTTTATCACCATCGGTACTTTCAGCTACAACTTAGCTAAATTTTTTGTTTCCCTGCTGCAGCTTCTTACAGTTAACTCATGTACTCTACAGAAAGCTTTCTCATTTGTTCAAGAAATTAGGAGCTTAAACTTGGGATTTCCTCTTATTTTGGCAAGATTGGTATATAATCTTTATTTACTAAAATACTAATATAATATAATATACTAATATAAGCAACTATTAAGCTGGGTTTGATGTAGTTACTATGTAAATACCAGTAGTCAGTCCTACCGTCTGGCTACGACTCTTCCTTCCTTCCTGGGAGTGAAGCTTGGGTTGTGAATGCAGCAGCAAGGAGACGGTTGGAGGCAATGGAGATGTCCTGTCTAAGGGCAATGTGTGGTGTAAATATTATGCAGAAAATTCGGAGTGTGGAAATTAGGAGAAGGTGTGGAGTTAATAAAAGTATTAGTGCGAGGGCTGAAAAGGGGTTGTTGAGGTGATTTGGTCATTTAGAGAGAATGGATCAAAGTAGAATGACATGCAGAGCATTTAAATCGGTAGGAGAAGGAAGACGGGGTAGGGGTTGTCCTCGAAAAGGTTGGAAGGAAGGGGTAAGAGAGGTTTTATGGGTGAAAGGCTTGGACTTCCAGCAGGCGTGCATGAGCGTGTTCGATAGGAGTGAATGGAGACGAATGGTATTTGGGACCTGACGATCTGTTGGAGTGTGAGCAGGGTAATATTTAGTGGAGGGATTCAGGGAAACCGGTTATTTTTATATAGCCGGACTTGAGTCCTGGAAATGGGAAGTACAATGCCTGCACTGTAAAGGAGGGGTTTTGGGATATTAGCAGTTTGGAGGGATATGTTGTGTATCTTTATACGTACAGTATATGCTTCTAAACTGTTGTGTTCTGAGCACCACTGCAAAAACAGTGATTATGTGTGAGTGAGGTGAAAGTGTTGAATGATGATGAAAGTATTTTCTTTTTTGGGATTTTCTTTCTTTTTTGGGTCACCCTGCCTCGGTGGGAGACGGCCGACTTGTTGAAAAAAAAAAAAAAAAGCTATTGGCAGAAAGGTGGGCTGGTACAAGTATGAGTAGTGGGGGGGGTTGAAGAGGGTTGGAATAGTTTTAAAAATGCAGTATCAGAATGTGGGGCATAAGCTTGTGGTTATAGGAAGGTGGGTGCAGGAGGAAAGAGGAGTGATTGGTGGAATGATGAAGTAAAGGGTGTGATAAAAGAGAAAAAGTTGGCTTATGAAATGTTTTTACAAAGCAGAAGTGTTATAAGAAGAGTAGAGTATATGGAGAGCAAAAGAAAGGTGAAGAGAGTGGTGAGAGAGTGCAAAAGGAGAGTAGATGATAGAGTGGGAGAGGCACTGTCAAGGAATTTTAATGAAACTAAGAAAAAAATTTGGAGTGAGTTAAACAAGTTAAGAAAGCCTAGAGAACGAATGGATTTGTCAGTAGGGGAGTAGTAGATGGGGAGATGGAGGTTTTGGGTAGATGGCGAGAATATTTTGAGGAACTTTTAAATGTCGACGAAGAAAGGGAAGCGGTAATTTCATGCACTGGCCAGGGAGGTATACCATCTTTTAGGAGTGAAGAAGAACAGGATGTGAGTGTGGGGGAGGTGCATGAGGCATTACGTAGAATGAAAGGGGGTAAAGCAGCTGGAACTGACTGGATCACGACAGAAATGTTAAAAGCAGGGGGGATATAGTGTTGGAGTGGTTGGTACTTTTGTTTAATAAATGTATGAAAGAGGGGAAGGTACCTAGGGATTGGCAGAGAGCATGTATAGTCCCTTTATATAAAGGGAAAGGGGACAAAAGAGATTGTAAAAATTATAGAGGAATAAGTTTACTGAGTATACCATGAAAAGTGTACGGTAGGGTTATAATTGAAAGAATTAGAGGTAAGACAGAATGTAGGATTGCGGATGAGCAAGGAGGTTTCAGAATGGGTAGGGGATGTGTAGATCAAGTGTTTACATTGAAGCATATATGTGAACAGTATTTAGATAAAGGTAGGGAAGTTTTTATTGCATTTATGGATTTAGAAACAGCATATGATAGAGTGGATAGAGGAGCAATGTGGCAGATGTTGCAAGTATATGGAATAGGTGGTAAGTTACTAAATGCTGTAAAGAGTTTTTATGAGGATAGTGAGGCTCAGGTTACGGTGTGTAGAAGAGAGGGAGACTACTTCCCAGTAAAAGTAGGTCTTAGACAGGGATGTGTAATGTCACCATGGTTGTTTAATATATTTATAGATGGGGTTGTAAAAGAAGTAAATGCTAGGGTGTTCGGGAGAGGGGTGGGATTAAATTATGGGGAATCAAATTCAAAATGGGAATTGACACAGTTACTTTTTGCTGATGATACTGTGCTTATGGGAGATTCTAAAGAAAAATTGCAAAGGTTAGTGGATGAGTTTGGGAATGTGTGTAAAGGTAGAAAGTTGAAAGTGAACATAGAAAAGAGTAAGGTGATGAGGGTATCAAATGATTTAGATAAAGAAAAATTGGATATCAAATTGGGGAGGAGGAGTATGGAAGAAGTGAATGTTTTCAGATACTTGGGAGTTGACGTGTCGTCAGATGGATTTATGAAGGATGAGGTTAATCATAGAATTGATGAGGGAAAAAAGGTGAGTGGTGCATTGAGGTATATGTGGAGTCAAAAAACGTTATCTATGGAGGCAAAGAAGGGAATGTATGAAAGTATAGTAGTACCAACACTCTTATATGGGTGTGAAGCTTGGGTGGTAAATGCAGCAGCGAGGAGATGGTTGGAGGCAGTGGAGATGTCCTGTCTAAGGGCAATGTGTGGTGTAAATATTATGCAGAAAATTCGGAGTGTGGAAATTAGGAAAAGGTGTGGAGTTAATAAAAGTATTAGTCATAGGGCAGAAGAGGGGTTGTTGAGGTGGTTTGGTCATTTAGAGAGAATGGATCAAAGTAGAATGACATGGAAAGCATAAAAATCTATAGGGAAAGGAAGGCGAGGTAGGGGTCGTCCTCGAAAGGGTTGGAGAGAGGGGGTAAAGGAGGTTTTGTGGGCGAGGGGCTTGGACTAATAGCAAGCGTGCATGAGCGTGTTAGATAGGAGTGAATGGATACAAATGGTACTTGGGACCTGACGATCTGTTGGAGTGTGAGCAGGGTAATATTTAGTGAAGGGATTCAGGGAAACCGGTTATTTTCATATAGTCGGACTTGAGTCCTGGAAATGGGAAGTACAATGCCTGCACTTTAAAGGAGGGGTTTGGGATATTGGCAGTTTGGAGGGATATGTTGTGTATCTTTATACGTATATGCTTCTAAACTGTTGTATTCTGAGCACCTCTGCAAAAACAGTGATAATGTGTGAGTGAGGTGAAAGTGTTGAATGATGATGAAAGCATTTTCTTTTTGGGGATTTTCTTTCATTTTTGGGTCACCCTGCCTCGGTGGGAGACGGCCGACTTGTTGAAAAAAAAAATATTCAAAATGGATGTAAACTCACATTTATCTCTTATTTGTGTTAGTTGTGAATGAATCCATTTGTTAATGTGTATGGTACCAACAGGAGTATCTGTTGAGTGAGGGAACAGAGTTGAACCCTCCTCAAGAACTACCTTCAGACCCATATAGTGAACTGAGAAAGTCTCGTGCTGATTCCCCATCCAGGAGGTCAGACCTGAGGCCACGCTCTGCGCCCTCAGCACCACCAAGACTTAAGGGACTTGTGCTCAAGTAAGTTGTTAAATGTACTCAGGTGTAAAACGTTCACATAAAATTTAAGTTATATTGGGTCACCTGAAGGTTTCTTCTCAAGGAAAGAATTGGAGATATCATCACCTTCAGATAAAACCCAATTACATCTGCCCATCCCATTCCCCAGGTTCTGCATGATCTTATGGGCTGAGCATCTTCCTGTGAATATAACAACTATGTGTTTGAATTGCAGCACAGTCTGAAAAAGGTATCCCAAAAGCTCAGCCCTTTCTACTTTAATGCAAGCAAAAGAAATAGTGCTGAGTGTAGCATAAGCTTCTAATTCAATTATGTATCAGCAATGAAGATCTGAAGCCAATCAGAAGAGACATTCACAAGGTATTGTATGGAAATTAATATCCCAATTTCTTCATAAAAAGGGGAAGAAGTGGCACCTACACAGCCCAAAATCAATTCAAACCTTTCACTAAGATAAATCAGCTTTAAAAATTTAAAGCCAATCAAAAGAGGCATTTTCTAGTTATCTCAGAGTCCAGTATCCCAAAATACACCATTACTTAAAATTTGAATCTGCTCAGAAGTTATATTTTCTCAAGTTATTGGTGTTGAAGGTTTGAAGATGGGTGGATAAAGCTTTCACGATTTTTCACGTGAAAACTGGTATTTCAGTTTTTCTAATTACTTCAACAAAATTGGCACCTACACAGACCAAAATCAATCCAAACCTTTTCCTATATAAAATACACTAGCATTGAAGATTTTATCAAAGCATTTTCTAATTATTGCAGCAAATCAATTTGCTTAATAAAATTAAAAGAATTACAATGTGCATAACCAAAAATCACTGCAGTACAAAGCTTCCTCTGAGAAAAACACACCAGTGCTAAAAGATTGAAGCAGACCAGATAATGTATTCTCCAGTTATTGCACAAATTCCAACAATTCCAAGCTGATTAACTGTTATTAAACTGCCAAAATGCCACTTAAACAGCTTTAACTAAAAAAGTATCATTTGTTTAATTGTCAGCCATTTAATATTAAAGACGTACAGAAGAGGCTTACTCAAGTTATTGGACGGAAAAAATGCTCTTCCATTATAAAAATAAACTTTACAGATTGGCACCAGCACACTCCAATAACAATTTCAACCAGCTTTTAACCCTTTGACTGTCGCGGCCGTATATATACGTCTTACGAGGTACCGTGTTTGACGTATATATACTCATAAATTCTAGTGGCTTCAAATCAAGCAGGAGAAAGCTGGTAGGCCCACGTGTGAGAGAATGGGTCTGTGTGGTCAGTGTGCACCATATAAAAAAAATCCTGGAGCACACAGTGCATAATGAGAAAAAAAAAAACTCCGACCGTTTTTTTTAAATAAAATGCCGACTTTGTGGTCTATCTTCGTATAGTATTTATGGTTGTATTCTCGTTTTCTTGGTCTCATTTGATAGAATGGAAAACATATTATAGAAATAGAGGTGATATTGATTGATTTTACTATAAAAAGAACCTAGAAATGGAGCTCAAAGTAGAGGAAATGTTTGATTTTTGCCAATGTTCAAAAGTAAACAAATGATGCCAATTTCCAATAAATGTCCAACTAGCCATTCTAATATGCAGTCATGAATGGGTTGATGTTATTTATACAATTATTACAGTATTGCAGTAGTCTGCATAATAGTAAGTCTTTTATTTTTTGTTTGAATAAAAATTCAAAATAGAAAGCAAGAGTAATATCAGAGGGGCCTGGAGACATGACTGATGAGCAAAGAAAATGTTATTTTAGAGCCAGGAATGTCTGCATTGTTCATTCTGGACCTTATTTTGAAATTGTCATATTTTTTAGTTTTCGTGAAATTGGCCAAATTGCAAATTTCTGACCACATTATTAGGTAGTTGAAATCGGTAAATGGGCAGTTTCTTGTACTCAATCGATAGAAAAAATGGAGTTCTAAAGAAATAGCTATGAGTTTGGGCAACTGGAACAATGGAATTAGCCGAAAATAGGGCTAAAAGTGGGCGAAATCGCCGATTTGTAAACAGCGCCGAGGTCGCTAACTTTGCGAGAGCATAATTCCGTCAGTTTTCCATCAAATTTCGTTTTTTTTGGTGTGATTACAATCGGGAAAAGATTCTCTATCATTTCATAAGAAAAAATATTTTTTTTTTTTTTTAAATTTTGCGACACCAGGAGACACCTCAGGATTGGGGGTTGCGACAGTCAAAGGGTTAAGTACACCAGTGTTGAACATGTGAAGCCAGTCAGAAGAGGCTTTACCAAGTTACTGCATGGAAACCAAAGACCAGATGGCACCTGCACATGCTAATAGATTCATGAATCTTCTAGTTATAGTTTATGAGCATTGAAAATTTGAAGCTAATTAGATGAGTCATTCTAAAGTTACAAACAAAAATCCTAGAGGAAGAAAAAAATCAAATACATAAAGGTACACCTTTAAGGATACCTAAATATGGAGGAATGTAACGTGGTTTTAACACTTACTGTTGGAGTGTGGACTTGTTAGCCAGACTCCTGGAGGTGGGAAGTACAATGCCTGTGTGCCTCTGGCAAGACAGTGATTGTGTGAATGATGGTGAAAGTGTTTCTTTTTTGGGTCATCCTACCTCGGTGGGAGATGGTCAGTGTATTAAAAAAAAAAAATGTAAGAAATGTGCACTTTGACCTACTTTTGTTACTCTAGTTTATCTTCTTGGGAAATGAAGTTGTAGTTGTCATCATTATTATGATCATTGTCATTATCTTATCACTTTCTTCATAATTATGGAATTTTAGGGAGGGAAGGGAAAGCCAGGTGTGTTGCATAAGACACTGATGATATTTTTTTTAAAGGTTTGATGTGATGGTGGAAGAGGTGGAAGGTGGGCAGCTTGGAGCCACTCCAGCAGTGCTACTGTATCGCCCTGCTGATCTCACTGTAGAGCTCAGACAGCCATCATATCATGACTACGTGGAGATTAAGAGATTCAGTCCAATAATACTCAGAGCCATCAGGGTACCTCTTAGAGGCACTAGGAAAGGTAAGTCAAACTTTAAACACAACTTTTGCTACTGGAAACTATCTTGTATATTGATATATACTCATAAATATTCCAATTTATATAGCTCAAAATGCAATGTCTTTGAAAAAAAATACAATATATATTCAATATGAGGCTCAGGTTAGGGTGTGTAGAAGAGAGGGAGAATACTTCCCGGTAAAAATAGGTCTTAGACAGGGATGTGTAATGTCACCATGGTTGTTTAATATATTTATAGATGGGGTTGTAAAAGAAGTAAATGCTAGGGTGTTCGGGAGAGGGGTGGGATTAAATTATGGGGAATCAAATTCAAAATGGGAATTGACACAGTTACTTTTTGCTGATGATACTGTGCTTATGGGAGATTCTAAAGAAAAATTGCAAAGGTTAGTGGATGAGTTTGAGAATGTGTGTAAAGGTAGAAAGTTGAAAGTGAACATAGAAAAGAGTAAGGTGATGAGGGTATCAAATGATTTAGATAAAGAAAAATTGGATATCAAATTGGGGAGGAGTATGGAAGAAGTGAATGTTTTCAGATACTTGGGAGTTGACGTGTCGGCGGATGGATTTATGAAGGATGAGGTTAATCATAGAATTGATGAGGGAAAAAAGAGTGAGTGGTGCGTTGAGGTATATGTGGAGTCAAAAAACGTTATCTATGGAGGCAAAGAAGGGAATGTATGAAAGTATAGTAGATACCAACACTTATATGGATGTGAAGCTTGGGTGGTAAAATGCAGCAGCGAGGAGACGGTTGGAGGCAGTGGAGATGTCCTGTCTAAGGCAATGTGTGGTGTAAATATTATGCAGAAAATTCGGAGTGTGGAAATTAGGAGAAGATGTGGAGTTAATAAAAGCATTAGTCAGAGGGCAGAAGAGGGGTTGTTGAGGTGGTTTGGTCATTTAGAGAGAATGGATCAAAGTAGAATGACATGGAAAGCATATAAATATATAGGGGAAGGAAGGAGGGGTAGGGGTCGTCCTCGAAAGGGTTGGAAAGAGGGGGTAAAAGAGGTTTTGTGGGCTAGGGGCTTGGACTTCCAGCAAGCGTGCATGAGCATGTTAGATAGGAGTGAATGGAGGCGAATGATACTTGGGACCTGACGATCTGTTGGAGTGTTTATAGAGGGGCCACAGATATATCAGATCACTTTCTAGTTGTAGCTACACTGAGAATAAAAGGTAGATGGGATACAAGGAGAATAGAAGCATCAGGGAAGAGAGAGGTGAAGGTTTATAAACTAAAAGAGGAGGCAGTTAGGGTAAGATATAAACAGCTATTGGAGGATAGATGGGCTAATGAGAGCATAGGCAATGGGGTCGAAGAGGTATGGGGTAGGTTTAAAAATGTAGTGTTAGAGTGTTCAGCAGAAGTTTGTGGTTACAGGAAAGTGGGTGCGGGAGGGAAGAGGAGCGATTGGTGGAATGATGATGTAAAGAGAGTAGTAAGGGAGAAAAAGTTAGCATATGAGAATTTTTTTACAAAGTAGAAGTGATGCAAGGAGGGAATAGTATATGGAGAAAAAGAAAAGAGGTTAAGAGAGTGGTGAAGCAATGTAAAAAGAGAGCAAATGAGAGAGTGGGTGAGATGTTATCAACAAATTTTGTTGAAAATAGGAAAAAGTTTTGGAGTGAGATTAACAAGTTAAGAAAGCCTAGAGAACAAATGGATTTGTCAGTTAAAAATAGGAGAGGAGAGTTATTAAATGGAGAGTTAGAGGTATTGGGAAGATGGAGGGAATATTTTGAGGAATTGTTAAATGTTGATGAAGATAGGGAAGCTGTGATTTCGTGTATAGAGCCAGTTGTGAGTGTGGGGGAAGTTCGTGAGGCAGTAGGTAAAATGAAAGGGGGTAAGGTAGCCGGGATTGATGGGATAAAGATAGAAATGTTAAAAGCAGGTGGGGATATAGTTTTGGAGTGGTTGGTGCAATTATTTAATAAATGTATGGAAGAGGGTAAGGTACCTAGGGATTGGCAGAGAGCATGCATAGTTCCTTTGTATAAAGGCAAAGGGGATAAAAGAGAGTGCAAAAATTATAGGGGGATAAGTCTGCTGAGTATACCTGGTAAAGTGTATGGTAGAGTTATTATTGAAAGAATTAAGAGTAAAACGGAGAATAGGATAGCAGATGAACAAGGAGGCTTTAGGAAAGGTAGGGGGTGTGTGGACCAGGTGTTTACAGTGAAACATATAAGTGAACAGTATTTAGATAAGGCTAAAGAGGTCTTTGTGGCATTTATGGATTTGGAAAAGGCGTATGACAGGGTGGATAGGGGGGCAATGTGGCAGATGTTGCAAGTGTATGGTGTAGGAGGTAGGTTACTGAAAGCAGTGAAGAGTTTTTACGAGATAGTGAGGCTCAAGTTAGAGTATGTAGGAAAGAGGGAAATTATTTCCCAGTAAAGTAGGCCTTAGACAAGGATGTGTGATGTCACCATGGTTTGTTTAATATATTTATAGATGGGGTTGTAAGAGAAGTAAATGCAAGGGTCTTGACAAGAGGCGTGGAGTTAAAAGATAAAGAATCACACACAAAGTGGGAGTTGTCACAGCTGCTCTTGCTGATGACACTGTGCTCTTGGGAGATTCTGAAGAGAAGTTGCAGAGATTGGTGGATGAATTTGGTAGGGTGTGCAAAAGAAGAAAATTAAAGGTGAATACAGGAAAGAGTAAGGTTATGAGGATAACAAAAAGATTAGGTGATGAAAGATTGAATATCAGATTGGAGGGAGAGAGTATGGAGGAGGTGAATGTATTCAGATATTTGGGAGTGGACGTGTCAGCGGATGGGTCTATGAAAGATGAGGTGAATCATAGAATTGATGAGGGAAAAAGAGTGAGTGGTGCACCTTAGGAGTCTGTGGAGACAAAGAACTTTGTCCTTGGAGGCAAAGAGGGGAATGTATGAGAGTATAGTTTTACCAACGCTCTTATATGGGTGTGAAGCATGGGTGATGAATGTTGCAGCGAGGAGAAGGCTGGAGGCAGTGGAGATGTCATGTCTGAGGGCAATGTGTGGTGGGGAATATAATGCAGAGAATTCGTAGTTTGGAAGTTAGGAGGAGGTGCGGATTACCAAAACTGTTGTCCAGAGGGCTGAGGAAGGGTTGTTGAGGTGGTTCGGACATGTAGAGAGAATGGAGCGAAACAGAATGACTTCAAGAGTGTATCAGTCTGTAGTGGAAGGAAGGCGGGGTAGGGGTCGGCCTAGGAAAGGTTGGAGAGAGGGGGTAAAGGAGGTTTTGTGTGCGAGGGGCTTGGACTTCCAGCAGGTATGCATGAGCGTGTTTGATGGGAGTGAATGGAGACAAATGGTTTTTAATACTTGACGTGCTGTTGGAGTGTGAGCAAAGTAACATTTATGAAGGGGTTCAGGGAAACCGGCAGGCCGGACATGAGTCCTGGAGATGGGAAGTACAGTGCCTGCACTCTGAAGGAGGGGTGTTAATGTTGCAGTTTAAAAACTGTAGTGTAAAGCACCCTTCTGGCAAGACAGTGATGGAGTGAATGATGGTGAAAGTTTTTCTTTTTCGGGCCACCCTGCCTTGGTGGGAATCGGCCAGTGTGATTAAAAAAAAAAAAAAAAAATAAAAAAAAATAATAATTCAGGGAAACCGGTTATGTTCATATAGTCGAACTTGAGTCCTGGAAATGGGAAGTACAATGCCTGCACTTTAAAGGAGGGGTTTGGGATATTGGCAGTTTGGAGGGATATGTTGTGTATCTTTATACGTGTATGCTTCTAAGCTGTTGTATTCTGAGCACCTCTGCAAAAGCAGTGATAATGTGTGAGTGTGGTGAAAGTGTTGAATGATGATGAAAGTATTCTCTTTTTGGGGATTTTCTTTCTTTTTTGGGTCACCCTGCCTCGGTGGGAGACGGCCGACTTGTTGAAAAAAAAAAAAATATGTATTCATGAAAAGGCATTAAATCCTTTGGAATCATAGTGCTGAAATTTTGACAAATGAAGAAATATCCACACCAATTAACCCTTTGACTGTTTTGGTTGTATATATACGTCTTACAAGCCACCGTTTTTGATATATATATACTTATAAATTCTAGCAGCTTCAAATCAAGCAGGAGAAAGCTGGTAGGCCCACATGTGAGAGAATGGGTCTGTGTGGTCAGTGTGCACCATATAAAAAAAATCCTGCAGCACCCAGTGCATGAGAAAAAAAAATCCGACTGTTTTTTAACCCTTTCAGGGTCCGTCCCGTAGATCTACGGCTTTACGTTCAGGGTCCAAACCGTAGATCTACGCCATGAGCTCAGCTCACTCTGATAAACTGTGAGTGGTACATTTGGGCCTAGATATGAGAGAATACATCTATGTGGTATGTGTGCACCACATAAAACAAATCCTGCAGCACACTGTGTATAATGAGAGAAAAAAACTGAGACCATGATTTTCGATTAAAACAGCGACTTTGCATTTTTTTCGTATGTTTTTTATAGTTGTATTTGCGATTTCTTGGTCTCATTTGATAGAATGGAAGACATATTACAAAAGTAGAGATGATTTTGATTGGTTTTAGCATTGTAAATGGCTTAAAACTGAGCTCAAAGTAGCAGAAATGTTAAAATTTTGCCGATGTTCAAGAGTAAACAAACGACCTCACACATCTAATACACGCCAGCTGGTGGGTCTAATATGCATTCACAAATGTGGTGATGATATTTATACAGTTATTACAATATTGCATAACAGTAAATCTTCTATTTTTTGGTGTGAATAAAAAATCAAAATGGAATTTATTTGTAAAGCCTCAAAATGTAACTAATGAACAGAGGAAATGTTAGTTTAGTGCCAGGAATACCTACATTGTTTATTCTGGACCCTATTTTGAAATTGGAATATTTTGAACTTTGTGTTAAATTGGCCAAATTACCAATTTCCAATCACTTTATTTTGTAGTTGAAACAGTTGACCTGGCGATTTCTTGTGCTCATTCGATAGAATAGAAGTAATACTAGTGAAATAGCTAAGAATTTG